AACTTTGATGAAAAGATATTTCTTGTCGCCAATATTGAATATCACTTTATGGGTAAGTATTGTGGATTCTCAGTATCTATCGTACGTTACAGTCGGTAACCTACACACGTCAGATATAGAAAATGTTGTATTCTTCTGTGACTTTATTGAAAGTGTAGACCATAACCATAAGTTAAGGTTCCTCGTCGTCAATATTCTATGCATTTTTGTCGTGTATTTTCTGTATTCTGCGAATTATATAAGCATCAACTCAGAACACAAAGTTACGCAAATATCTGTTTTTTCTTCTTTTTTTTTCAAACTAATGTTCATCCAATACAGAGCCCCAAGAGTCATTCCAAGTAGAGGGTTAATGGTTTGGTTTGGTTTGTTTTACGGCATATCAACCTCTATGCGTTATTTAATGTCGACAAGACTTTTATTGCAGGTAATATTTTTTTTCCAAAAATGTATTGCTGGTAATTTTTTTTTAAATGTATTGCTGGTAACAATACTTTTCTTTAAAAATTCATTGCTGATAATAACCTTTTTCAAAAATATATTGCTGGTACTAAAACCTATTTTTACACATTCATAGTGTTTTGACGCCAGTTTGGGAGTCAACTATTTACCCATAGCTGGGACCTTAACAGTTGCTAACACCCTGGGTTAGGGTGGACCTGGAAACAGCACCAATTAAGAGGAGGTTTCCCGCTCCTCAAAACTTGATCAGAGGCCTTGCTGTTGGAAGTAGTTTATCATCTTACCCAGGACATAAATGTAGTTTATCATCTTACCGAGGACTGGAGGGGTTACTGAATGAGGTGTGTGATATGAACGAAAAGGAAGGAATATGTCGTATCATATATATGGATTATAATGGGTATGTCCCCATTCACATAAATACAGGTAGTAAGTACTGTATGTTGGTCTGCAGTTGGAGATTCGTCTCCAGCTATGCTGGTCAAACTCTCTGCCTCCGAGCAGAAAGGATCCGCAGACGAGGATTAGTCGAAGAGCAGAGTCTCGTCTCGGGAAACAGCTACCCGACCCCGTTTTATACGAGGTCTACGGAAAATTTTTGGCCGAGCCTACGGGCTCGGATACTCAACCTTAAATTTGGCATTGTGCCACATCTGACCGTGTGGGGCGGTTGGTAGATATCCTGCAGTTGGAGATTCATTGTGGAATTCACTTGACTCACTTCTAGCAGTTCACTAGTTCTCTAAATCTTTTATGTGTTGTTCTTGTCCTAAGTATTATCGTTAATTACCAACTTTCTTGTAATTATTCTATTCAGCAACTTTCCCTAGGTTACAACAAAATAAGATTAAGTGAAGATATGGAGGATGAATAATGATTGACCTTAGGCTTGAAATGTGTTCGGGAAAGCAATCAGGCGGGAGTCTGTTCCATAAAATAGCGGCTCTTTCGAAGAAGCTTTCTGAGTGGAGCGTCTTTTTTTTTCTGAATGGAATACGTAGAGAATGAGAGTAATTCGACCCTGTAGGTGTAGTAAAGCGGATCTTGACTTTAATGCAATGGAGGAGACACTGACTTTTGAATTCGGATTCTCTCGGTACTAGTAAAATACAAAGAAAAAATAACCCAGTCACTAATGATGCGGAAAGCATGCCATCAATGTCCTAATTTTTAACACCAGGAATATTTTTCCTGTCACCAAGTCTCCATATTTGCTCTTCTTCGTCATATTACAGACAAAATATTTGCCACAGTTTCTGTATATATATATATATATATATATATATATATGTGTGTGTGTGTGTGTGTGTATATATATTGAGGGAATGGGAAAGGCTGGTTATCAATGCTTTCTCTTTTGACTTATCTTTTGACTTATCTAGTCACAATAAATAAATCAGTCGCGTATTTTTCCATGCACAACGTCCAAGGTATGACGATAAACTACATCTGACACCAAGGCCCTTGATCAGGAGGTTTTGTGGAGCTTGGAACCACCTCTTAATTGCTGGTGTTCCCAGGTCCACCCTAGTCCGGGGTGGTAGCACCTGTTAGGGTGCCAGCCATGGACGAATCGTTAACCCTGAAACTGGGGTAAAAACACCATGAAAGTGTAAAAATAAGTTTTAATACCATAAATACTTTGTAAAAAAAGTTATTATCAGCAATAATTTTTTAAGAAAAAAAAACTATTACCAGCAATACATTTTTTCAAAAAAAAAAAATATTACCAACAATACATTTTTGAAAAAAAAATATTAACAACAATACGTTTTTAAAAAAAAATATTACCAGTAATACATTTTTGGATAAAATTAACACCAGCAATATATTTTTGAAGAAAAAAATTATTACCAGAAATAGATTTTTGACAAAACAAAATATTACCAGCAATAAAAATTTTGCCGGCATTAAATAACCCATTGAGGTTGATATGGCGTAAATCAAATCAAACCAAACCAAACCAAACCATAATACGATGATTTCTCTATGAAATCCTAACTTGTATCCAAATGTACAATTTTTGTGCGGGGCAGAGAGGAGGGGTGACGAAATGATAACAATAGCAATATTTAAAAATTTAAATTCATCTCCAATGATTATTTAAAATGAAATAATTTATTTTCAGGAGCAAAGAAAAAAAAAGATCGTTAGTAATAGACCGCTCCATCCAGATTCTCTAAAAACGTTTCTTACCGTGTGCTGTTTTTATAAGCTTAGCTTAGATGTGGCACAAGGCCAATAGTATGAGGTACCCATGGAGGATCGAAATCACTACTCAGTCGTAATTGTTCTCGTGTGACAAGCTTGTTAACCATTACACCATCGTGATTCATCCTATCTAACACAACAATAAAAATGCAGAAGTTTTTACATTTATGTTTTATAAATTACCCAGAATGAGTTGATAAGTTACGGTAAGAAGACCTATTTGAACTGCTAGGAAAACTCGATCTATTTAAGAGGGATGTTAGAATAATCCACAACACATACTGGGAGCAAACCACTTGCATACTGACAGAAAATTAATTGAGTACTTATACAAAGAAAGAAAAAGTCTAAAACAAGGATGTGCCTCATCATCGTATTTATTCAGCCTTTACAGCAAAGCTGTCATAAGAGAGCCGGATACCTCCAAGGGATTTATTATCACTGGGCGAAATACAATCTTAACAATATTAGATAAGCAGATGGGACTCTGTTGATGATGACAGCCACAGAAGGAAATGTACAGAATCTCCTTATCAAGGTTCGTTTGTTTTGCGGTATATCAACACCTTATGGGCCATTTAATGCCGAAATTTTATTTTCTTTGGAGTATTAGTAATTTATTTTACAAAAATATAAGGCAGCTATTTTTTTTCTAAAAATGTATTACTGGTTTTTTTTTTTTTTACTATGAAAATGTATTGTTTGTATTTTTTCTATAAAAATGTATTCATGTTTCATAGGGTTTTGACTCCAGTTTGGGAGTTAACTATTAACTTAATACGTGCTACCACCCCGGGTCAGAGTGGACCTGCGAACAATAGAAATTAAGAGGTGGTTCCACTCTCCCGATCAAAGGCCTTGCTGCCGGATGTAATTTATCGTCATACTCAGGACGGCCTAAACAAAGTAGTAAAGGGAAACAAAAGACTAAGCATTAATTGCAAGAAAGATGTATGTTTGGTTTTTCAGCAAGAGAAAAATCCTAAGATGAGATCTACGAAATGGAGACAGACAGAAATACGTTTTAACATAGAACGGAAAATCCAAAGACGCATTGGAACAGCAAAAGATGCCTTCCAAAAGCTAAGCAAAGTATTAAAAACGGGATATTTTTTGAGAAACAAAGAAAAGAGAGTTAGATTGCTATATAATCACAATACTCATATGAATGTGAATACTGGAAATATTCTGCACAGATGAAGAGAAGACTTTAAATAACAGAGATGCGGTTCTACAGAAGGATGCTGAGGATACCATGGACGAGATGTGTGAATAACGGGGAAGTTTTAAGAAAAATGTAAACAAAAAGAAAGCATATTCATAATCAAAAAGAGACAGATAAAATTCCTGGGACGCATACTTAGAAAAGAGGACTTGGATCATTTGACACTCAAAGGGCATATCGAAAGAAGAGCCACTTACCTAACGAGTTTGTGGGAACAGATGGTGTAACGGTGCTGGGAGAGCTGTTAAAAGACAAACGTTATAAAAAATTGTAGAGAGATAATCACCCAAGTCCTGAAGGGATACTGCATTAAAAAAAATAATAATATAAAGCCCATGGGTGTGCTTGTTAGGGAAAATAGATCCATCAAAATGAATTCGAATGTCATTTGGGACAGATTGTGTTCACTTCGTAGTAATGATAAATGCGCAAATCCAATTCCCTACCAGCTGTATATAATAGTGTAATGACAAAAGGTACGCAGATATAAGCTTTAAGAAAGCTTTATTCAACTGAGTATACAGGGTTCGCGTATAGTGTCCTTTTATAGTCCCAGTAAACAGAAATATCTCTCTCAAAAGAGGAGAGCAACGAAACAAGTGGTGACCACTCTTGATTATTCATAATAAATAGTAAATTTTGAATAGTAAATAGTGTGGCAGTTGAGGATCTTTAACTCTGGGAGGCAGTCCAGCTAGTGTCGATACTAGCACGCAATTCGTAAATAGTAATCAGTGTTGGTTCTTAACGGCTAAGAAAAATAATAATCTGAAGGGTTAAAGTGTAAAATATCTATGAAATAAACACTGGAAAGTTATAGAGACTGAAGAATAACAAAATGAATAAAATTCGGAAAATAACAGAAAAATGCTATTTATTCTTTTCTTGCCAAATAAGATTATAGAAGAGAAGAAATTGGAATTTAAGATGAAAAAGAAGAAAAGGAATAAAAAAAATAAATGTAAGACGCAACGTTTGAATCGAATTTAAAGGTTTACTAATTAAAGTCAGTGCTGTAAAAGGGAGATAACTGATTAACGAAGGCAGCTGGTTTCTCTCTTGATTGCTGACGTCCATTGCTTGACTTGTTTGCATTACTTCTATGTTTTCTTTCTCACTTCCCTTCACTCCGTCTTTTCCTTTCTTTTGTTCATATTTGTTTTCGCTCTCATAGATTTTCCTGTATTTTGCCTCGATTTTTCATTTTTTTGTTTCTACTTTTCTACTTTTTCCTATCTTTACATTTCTCCCTTTTTATTGAAGTTTATTATTTTAGTCTTGCTTCCTTTTCGTTCTTACTTTATTTCTTTCAATTTCTTTTTTTCTTTCTTTCTTGCAATTTTTATTCTTCTTCTTATCTACCTGTTTTGTCCTTTTTAATTTAATTTTTTTATTTATTTTCAACTTCGTTTCGCCTCACTCTCTTTCCTTCTTTCTTTCTTTCTTTCTTTCTGTATTTTATATGATTTCCTTCCTTTTATAGACCGTCTTGTTTTGTCCTATTTATTTAATTTCCTTCTTTCCTTCCATTTATCTACGTGTTTTCTTTCTTCCTTTCTTTCAATTTCGTTTCTCCTCCCTTTCTTTCTTTCATTCTTTTATATAATTTCCTTCCTTTTATAGACTTTCTTTCGTCCGTTTTTCATTTAATTTCCTTCTTTCTTTCTTTCTTTCTTTTTACTTCGTTTTTCCTCCCTCCCTTTCTTTCTTTCTTTATAAATTTTATATAATTTCCTTTTTTTTTTATGAACCATCTTGTTTCGTCTTTTTTTACTTAATTTTCTTCGTTCTTTAATTCACTCCTTTCTTTTATTTATCTACGTGCTTTCTTTCTTTCTTTCAACTTCAGACAAATCAAGGAAATTTTATAAGATAATGTTTTTTCTTAATTTAATTTCCTTCCTTCCATTTTCTTTTTTTCTTTCTTTCTTTCTTTGTCGTAAATGATTCTTCCTTCTTTTCGTCCTTGCAATAAAAATCAAGTTCTTCTACACTCTTATTTTGGTACAAACAAAATACTTTTCCTCCAACATTTTATTTCCTTTCATGTTTGATATATTTTGTAATTTTTACCTGTTTTTGGCTTTTCAACTTGAACGTTTTTGAGTTATGCTTTTATTTTTGCGCCATTTTGAAAAATGAACAACAACAATAAAAACACGAAATTGTACGCAAAACTCTTATCAGTGGAAAATGAAATTCTGAAATATTTTGCTTTTGGGGAGAAAATTCCGTTGGTCTAGCAGACAGAGGTTTAAGACAAATAGGTACATGCGCCTGTTGAACTGGGAAGACGAATGATATGAGCTCCCAATGATAATTGACAGGACGTCTATCCTCATTGTAGATAGAGACTTTATTATATCGGAATAAATTCGATTTACGCAAGCAATTTTCTTTTTTTCAATTTCAAACTGTCGACGATGCTGTTACAGAAAAAAATTCCTACCGATTGCAAAACGCGTATAGAAATAGAGTTCATGCCTTTCCAAAGTATAGTCTGGCAAAATTATTAGAAACTCATTGAAAAGATATCGCAAGACACTAGGGAACGATTTAAAAAATGTAGATGGCTAAACTTCCGAATTCGAATTAAGTTCATTATTTTCTTTATTTTTTCATTACGTTTCGTCCAACGGCATCTATAGCGCTGAAAGTGATGTTGACGAATTGGGTTCAAATTCTATGTTAGTCTGTTGCGTTCACTTTCACTGGAAATATATTTGAGAAAGATATGGTTCCGTCTCTTACCCTCACAGCTGTAAGTTATATAATAAGTTAGACTCAACTCTCTAGCCTTCGATGGCAACCAGTCTAAGATAAGGAAAAATGATTTAAGAACCATGAAGATGGCAACATGAAGCCATTCTATTGTCTTTCTGAAAAATGGATGCCAATTTACAAATATAAAGAAAAAGAATCTGTGTTGAGCCATAATTACCTACCAGGATTTTTTTTTAATACAGATTCCTTTTAAATCAATTCACCCCAAGAAAGGCGATAATACCACGAAGACACAAGAGGCTACTGGGGGTGAAAGAGAATGAGAAAACTTTAAAAGGAACCAGAAACCCAATCCTAAAGAGGAAACAAGGTATAAGCCTCTTCTACAGTTAAAAATACCAGGAAAGCGTGTGAATCGGATGATAGGCGAATCTATCTACTCTTATTGAGGAAAACATTATAAGATTTCAGAGTTTAGGTGGAGACAATAGAAGTATAGAGTTGTAGACTTTAGAATGAACCAGAAACCCAGTCCTAAACAGGGAACAGAAAACAGGGAACCACGTTTAATACTGTAAAGAAGAAAAATCTTCTTACTTTGCCTCCGGATAGGAAAATTTGGAAAATTATCAGCCACTTTTGATTTACGTTATTGCAGGTAAAAAGCCACTGAAATTAGTGTCTCTCTAGATTTGTCACATTTCTTTCTTTGTCGTAAATAATTTTTTCTCCTTTTCGTCCTTGCAATAAAAATCAAGTTCTTCTGAACTCTTATTTCGGTACAAACAAAATACTTTTCCTCCAACATTTTATTTCCTTTCATGTTTGGTATATTTTGTAATTTTTACCTGTTTTTGGCTTTTCAACTTGAACGTTTTTGAGTTATGCTTTTATTTTTGCGCCATTTTGAAAAATGAACAACAAAGAAATTAGTGTATCTCTAGATTTGTCACATACAAAGAACTAAATAACATTTTTTCGGCTATATATGTTGTCATATTTGGGTCGGCATGTTTGAAAATCACGTTATATCAATGACCAAACTAACCAATGTGTAACAAAGTTGTAATCGCTGACTAAACGCTACATTTGTTTAACTGAACGTAGAGTCCAGTATTAACTATAAAAATTAAAACTAAATTAAATTAAATTAAATATCCGACATTAATTATATGCTTCTAAAGAATCCAGTTACAGGATTATGAAAATCCGGTATTAATCAATGCCTATCGTCCCTATTTTTTTTATTTTTTTTTTATTTTGTGTGTCGAGAAGTGGGCAGTAATATTTTAAAATAATCCTAGGTAGTATGCGCCACAGTCAGACATTGTCGCATTTTTCTTTCTGCTGACAGCTGATTAGATGCCGTGATCATTGTCCACAGAGTGATCTTCTTCTTCCTCAAAAAGGAGTTAATCTTCCTTGCGGTCCAGTAATACTAAAGTCCATTGCTGTTTTTCACAACTACCAAGAAACATTCACTAACTACTGAAATGTGTGTTGGTAAATAATATTTCTTCTTTTACTCTGTACTTATTTCAGCTGCAAGTAATCTTGAATTATAGTGTGAACAGCTCTGCGCCTGTAATCTAAGGACTGTGTAAATTTCGGGTTTCAAAACATAAGGTAAACTATATAAAACTTTTTTTAAATGATATGAGCCGGGTAAAAATGTGAACAAATTTGAAATTTCGGTTAAATTAAGTTGCTACAAGTTAATGCGTATTATACACTAGTTATCTTTGCCGCAATTTCGCAGTCTAAAGCTAGGAGTGTGTATTATAAGTTAATACTCTGTTGAAGAGAGATGTTGTTTTGAGAAGAGAAATATATTTATGTGACAGGCTATAGTGGAGATATTACGGTGGTCACATATACGTGTTTTCCAGATAATGACGTGATAATATTGTGTCGTATGGAATGCTACAAATGGCTCGTTGGGGACTAAGCAGTCTGTCAGGGGATAAGTGAGACATGGCTTATTCCTATTGACATCCACCAACAGTTGGTCATTGGGTCTTACCAAAGCCGTTCAGAAATATCTAAACTATCACCTGAAAACAACCGCTTTCTAAGACCAGATATCAAAAATGGCTCTGAGCGAGTGAAGCCTGAAGATCTTGGAGAACATTATGGACTGACACTATAGAACCACTGTACCAGATAAACGGAAACTACATCACTCGAGGAATTTCGGCAACTAAAATGGATATCACATGTAAGTCGAAATAATATAATCAATATGTTCACGTTCCACACTATTTCAAACTGAAGGTTAGGAAAGAAACCGCCATCAGTACTGGAAAGAGCAATAACAGCTACTGGACGTGAGAGTTAGTTAAATTGTGCTACATCACTATATTAAATGAGAAATGTATTCCTACCTCGCAGATAAACGTCTAAAGGCTTCCCCTCGATTTGGCCTGTCTGCTTGATTTAAACTATATATCTTCAGGAAAACGAATATTTGCTTAATATTTCTTCAAAATTTTATTAGAGACAAAGTTACTATTGCTCAACTGTTAGGTAATATCAAACCTTCTATATGGTATGGAATATTAGACAATTTCTTTATAGTCGAAGAGATTTGTGACAACGGAGATGTAGTTCTACAGAAGAATAATGAGAATATCATTGACGGAGCATTTGAGCAATGAGGAAGTTCTAAGGAAAACGGGAGCGAAAAAGACACTTGGTTAAGAGTAAAAAGAGGGAGAGAGTTAAATTTTTTAGGACACATGAAGAGAAAAGTGCCTAGAATAATTTGACACATTGAAGACAAGAGGAAATCAGCGAGTCACCTGGGACACGCAATAAAGAAAGAGGGTTTAGAGAATTTGATACTCACATGACATAGTGAAAGGATGACGGGAAGAGAGTAATCCGCCTAATGACCTTGTGTAAATGGATGACAGAATAGGGACTAGGAAGGATAGTAAGGGGACAAACGTTACTTACAGCTACAAAGGATAGGAAATTGTGGAGAGCCATTATCACCTACCTAATGAGCTTGTATAAGTGGATAACAGAACAGGAACTGGTGACGATAGTGAGGAGACAAACATTGATAACAGCTATAAAGGATAGGAAGTTGTAGAGAGCCATGACTGCCCATAGCCAGACGGGACATGGCACATGGCAGAAATATACATAAATTGATAGCAGAACAGGGACCGAGAGAGATAGTAACGGGAGAAACATTGCTTAGACCGACAAAGGATAGGAAGATGTGGAGAGCTATGAATACCGTCGCCCTGAAGTGACCAGTCAGCTTAGGCGATCATGTCTCTCAATTCATGGCTGAGTAGGCAGATTTTCCATCTGTATGTGGTCGTCTCTTTCTGCGGTAGACTAGTTGCCAGCCAAGGCTATAGTACCCAGTCTGCCCTGTTATTTAACCCATAGATGACGGGGAAAAGATATGGATTCATAACTTTTCCAAATGGCATTTGCGCGTAAGTGACTGTAACGAAATCGAATGAAAGGATATGGCATATGGAAGAAACAGCTTGATTTTCTGTCATGTATGGAAATATCTAACTATCTCGGCCACTAGGCGTATCCTCTTAATTTGAATGACGCATTACATATTTTGCTGGTGTCATTGATCAGTGTTTGACGAAATAGCCTGGATTAAGAATGGCGATTTTCAAGGAAAGCAAACTTTCCTGTCTTTGAGGATTGGTGTCTCTCTCGCTGATCGATGTCTCTCACATGTAGAGTTCCATACAAATAGGTACACCCAGAATAAAGGCACACAGAATATCAAGTAGTTCGTGCTTGCATGCTATAAAGAGGCACAATACTCAATTAATTCGATGCATGGGATTATGCATATAAAACGCATGAACACACATTTAACGCATACGCCCGTTTATAGAAGGAAATATTATTTTTATGCAAGGCAAAATGGTTAGATACAGGCCAATGAAAACCCACGCATGCGCAGAAACAAATATTTGACGCGCATAATAAAAACACTGGAAAAAAAACTAGGAATTCATATTTGTTCGCCATAAACGCCGAAATATCTGCATAAACAATATTTTTTTGGAAAAACTTACAAAAAGTTTATGAAATAATATTTTAAAAACTGCTCGTTGCAAAAGAAAAAAATTGACAAAACTTGAAGTCAATTGAATTGCTGCGAAAACTGCCATTTTTTTTCTCTCAGAAAATAAGATGCAACGTTTCGTCAGAAAAAATACAACCTGATCATTAAGAAACTTCACACCAAAATTTGATAATTTCTTGGACGTATACTATTACTCGAATATAACTTGCCATAATCAAGATACCGACGTTCCACACGACCTCAAACAAAAGATTCCGAAGGAAATACCCACTGTAACGTGCGGTAACAGTGAATAGGCTTGAAAAACATATTTTTCTGAAAAATTGTTTTAAGGGAAAAAAAGTTATAAATGTCTACTGATAGTCGTACTGACTGCTCAGTCAATGAATTCTTATTATTTCCATATAAGGAAACAGATAATATCAGCATTAATATTAGGATGCTATTTAGATCATAAATTAGTATGGAGTTAATGGAACCAGTCGATTAAATGTTTTATTTTACTTCTACATGAGCTTGTAAAAATTGGGGGACGATTTAAATTTTGTGTTCTCAATTTGAAGATTTTAAGAATTTTTCCAGTTTTCAAAATTAACCATCCCGTTGCACACCAATAAAAAATAAATAAGAAACATTAAGTTTGTTTAAATTTAAACATATTTGAATAATTAAAAAAATGACGAGAAGGTTTTGGACACAAGACTGAATTAATATATTCAAGTCAAGAAATAATCCTCCGACACAACTGCACATATATAAACAAATATATATATATATATATATATATATATATATATATATATATATATATATATATATATATATATATTAATTAATGAATATCAAATATTTAAATACCATATGTAATAATCCTTATTCCATGAAATCTATGAAAATAACTTTCAATCTTTCAGACCTGCAAACCAAATATAACCGGAAAACATTACTCCAAGTTAAATTCAAGATATACATATATTGTATTGAGGGAGAGGGAAGTCAAGATTGTGTTTTTATATATATTTATATTTATATATATACATATATTTGTTAATATATATATATATATATATAAACACATTATTGACACTTATATTCATCTGATATAAACACACATACGCATATACATCAGCACAGGCCTTCTACATACCTGCAATCTCTTGACACTTACATACTTAAGTACACTGTCACTGCAAACACACTCTTCAAACATAGTCACAGTAGTACATATAGATTAGAATATACCTTCTAAATATTTTTACATGCGCCTCTGATATTGATACACATACTCTTTCGTACACAATGCTTACGGCCACATCACGTTGAAAACCGCATCCTATACGATCACCAACGTTAAGCAGCGTCGAGTTTGGTTGTTAACAAAATGAGTGACTGCTTGAGAATACCGCATGCTGTAAACACGGATGTGCCCTTAGTATAAAGGATAATGGCTCGGAATTATTAATCGGAGAGCCGAGTTCCAATTCCAGTTGGGTTTATTCTATTCACTTAGGTGCAAATACCCTTGGGAAATGTATGTATTCAACTTTTTCCTGGGTTTATTAGTTTAATTTGTATCATTAAACCATTATTATGGAAACAATTCTTACAATCTAAAAATATATTCTGGCATTAAAATATCTGCAAACGGCTGATAAGCCGTAAAAACGAATCAGTCAACCAATCCTTGTGTACAATATCGACTTATCCTCCTTCCATTCATATTAAAATGATTGTTTGGGAAGAGGAGAAAAGAGAACGGCACATCTCTTATCCTGAGTATAGTGAAAGATGTCAATGAAAACAAGAACCATACTTCGATGTGAAATTGGATAAAAAATACATTTGTTAAATAGCACAAAAACAAGAAAACATAATACAAATTTACAATACAAGATTGCGAAATATTTTCCTTTGTGCTCCTTACAATTAAACAAGATAACAAGCTATAATGTTACAATTTGTTAGGCTCATAAAACTGATATAAATTTTCATCAAAATGTTCACTTACTAACAACATTCATTGAACTGTCGAAAGGATGCTTCCTTGATTATTACTGTCTTAACATCTTCAAGACGAGGGTAAACCGTTACCTATGCTAGATATCATCCTAATGTGTACTTCTTACGTCCTCCTTTTACAAAAACACATTCACTTATCCTCTACCTTGAAGTAGTCTTAGGCTTTGGAATAGCTGGCCGCTCGTATCGGAATATGCCTGTCTGCTAGAGAAGCTAGCCAATCACTATTGAAGACGACTGCTCAGACACATGTGTGCCTGTTCAGCAATCACAGAGTCCACCTGTGGATTATACCGCAACTATGCTGAGCAGACCTTAGTTACAGTTTCTGGGAGAGAGCGTATTAATTGGCATGATGAACAGTCTACGGTTTGAGAGCAGTACGCTCAAACACTCGGTCACGATGACTTGGGACTCTGTGCTAGTTCAACCATCGAAGATTCCTTAAATAGTTCCGTCTACACAATTTCTCTCACAACGCTTGGGTCAAACCATGGCATGATTTTCAGGCACTTTCCAAAAATGCCTCACGCTGAGATCGAATTTACAGGCCGATTGCATCAAGAAATCATCTTCTTTGTAGTGGGTGAACAATAGAATAAAAAAGATAACACACACCCTTCCACGCTTTACCAACACATTCATATACATTTGTAAATTCGTCCCACATACATGCATTTATATGCTCCTCTGAAAGTCAAACGCTTGCAAAGATATACAAATATATATGAATACATGTATACGCCACCAGGGGATAAACATATAAGCACGTGGACGTATGTGTTATTGTCCTTGTCTCAGGCACAAAGCTGGCATCAAACATCTAATTCGAGACTAAGATGATAAACGGGGGACAGTGAAAACAAGCATGTCGACTTTGACTTCAAATTCACTCAGATTTATTGATTTGATTGTTAGTTGTCTAAAGGTCTTGCTGCCCCAAACGTAGTTACATTATGCAAAGACGGAGACATTTCAGGCAAAAGGAAAATTATGTGAGAATATCTAAATGATGTTCTGACAATATATATATATATATATATATATATATATATATATATATATATATATATATATATATATATATATATATATATATATATATATATATATATATATACTCTCCCGTCAAATTCTACGTATGAGAGTCAAGCGGATCAGTTCCTATGAACTGACAGTCCGACACCAGCATATGAGATTTCAATATAGTGGTGAAGGTTTTGTGCAGAACCATCCACTTTGAAGGGTCGAATGCAAAGACCTGGTGCACTACCTGCTACAAGGTCCTCAAACAAACCTCTGCAGGTTTTTGAATTCAGAGTTGTTCTTCTCCTAGACCAGTTGCCATCCAAGGCTATAGAACCCAGTCTGTCCTGCTATTTACCCAGTGATTTATAATGCAACTAAGCTGAGAAGACCTTAGTTACAGTTTCTGGAAAAGCGTGTTATCTAGCGTGATCAACAATTTGAACAAGGCCAGCACACTCACGCTATCGGCCACGATGACTTTTGTCTTCGTGCTAGCACAGCTATCGACATCATCCAAGAGTTCCGTTTGCCCAATTTCACTCACAAGGCTCGGGTCAACCCGTGGTATGATTTTCAGGCACTTTCCAAAGGTGCCGCACGCTGGGATCGATCCCTCCAGTCCGATAACATCAGGAAGTCTCCTTACTGACAAAATGACCATGGTGAGTTTTGAACTCATTGTCAGAATCCAAACGTTCTAATCATTCGGCAACGTGCCCAAATAATACATAACTATAAATTATCCAGATGACTAATTCTACCTCTCTCTGACCAGAGCTCAATTCGGACACATTTAACCCAGTATGGAATTGTATCAAACAATGCACAACATACCCATCAAAAACTCCCAGTGCAAAAAGCATTTATAATTAATAGATCCCTTTATGATAAAATAAAACAAGAAATCAAACTTTAATAACATAAATTCTGAACACGGCCACAATGTACTGTCTGTATTTGAAAATTAAGAATATGTATTTTGTCAGCAACTTTTATACTGTCTACAAAAGCACTTATATATAAGTTATTATAGTACCATAGCTAAAATCCGTGAAAATGGCTAAATTTAGCAGAAAGTTTTCGGAATCAACAAACGTTTAAATCATTTTTACATTCATTAAGTCAAGAAAAAAAAACACTTGTACGCATACATTAAAAACATAATAGAAAATTAAACAAAGTTTTATTGCCAGGCTTATTAAAAGACATTTGTATTAAAGAGGACTTGCTACCGAAATACACAACTATCAATATATAATTATATATTATATAATTTTATATTAAATAAGAAAAACAATTTGTTATTATTTCTTAAACAAGGCAAGCCTTACGACCATATCACGTTGAAACACGTGCAATCACCGAAGTATAGCAACGTCGAGCTTGGTCAGTATCTAGATGGGTGACCGCTTGGGAATACCAGGTCTTGTATGTTTGTATATGCGGACGGTGTAATGCATTTAAAATCTTTTTGTGGGGACGGGTATTTACAAGTGAATCGGTCTCTATATGTACGACTGGAAAAATGTTGTTGTTTTTTTATTTTTAGTCAGATCTTAATAGTTATGATATGAAATCTATCGCTGATAATTGAGAAGATAAAATTTGAAACGGCTAATATGATAAAAATTGTCCTGACCAGTTATTTTTTATGAAACTAACACAGAAATAACTTGATTCACTTCGTCTTGATGTCACTATATATATATATATATATATATATATATATATATATATATATATATATATATATATATATATTAACCCGAGCGGATTCTACAGAGAAACAAATAAAGTGTAACTTGTATAATTTCGCATCTTTCGTTAGCTTCTAAAATTCTTTTCAATATCTAACATTTTTAGAAATTAGAACAATTCAGGTACAATGATATGAACGATCAATAATATTTTAATGTATATGATAACCCGATTTGAAAATTCCTCTTTTCATTGCACTTATTTCTTTATACATACAGTGCTGTTCGATAAAAGTCACTCACCTGATTTTTTTTTTTTTTACGAAAAAATTATTTTGTTTATTGTTTTTGGGGTAAAAATAATTTTTAATCTTACTAATCTAAAGACTTCTTCCCGATCACCTAAGAAAAAAGTTTATTCACCCTAAGGTATTCTATTGATAATTATAAGTTTGGATATAAATGAGATTCAGGAAAAAAAGTGACTCAGATATCGCATTCTAATGATTAAACTCGTAAATTTAAAGAGCTTTTGACAAAATATTGAAAACTATTTTACAATACACACAGAACAATATTCTAGAGAATTCTAGAACAGCTTAAATTGAATCTAGAGTATTCCAGAATATTCCAGAAAGCCTCATACAGTATAGAAACAGCTTGAAATAGCCACTCAAGTCACTAACCAGATGTAAGGGTACAAACACGCATCAGAACCACTTAAGGCATCTATTATTGCCCTCTTAAAAGCAGGCAAGTCTACGAGAGAAATTGCAGAAATTGCTATAACCTCGCAATTGACTGTCTCTCGAGTGCTTAGGGCACATAATGATGCCACTCCTGCTCCAAGGAAGGAAACAAGGGGACGAAAGAAAAAGATTGATGATAGAACTGGCAGGGTAATCAAAAGAGAAGTTGCGAAGAATAAGACTATAACTAGACAAGAAATTGCAGCTAGTCTAAGCGAAGAGAAAGGTGTTAGTCTTTGCCTCTTCAACAGTACGTCGGTGTCTGTTAGAACAAGGCTACAAATCTTGTGCACGAAGGTTTAAGCCGCTAATAAGCAAAGCCAACAAAGCCAAGAGACATGAATGGGCTCACTATTACAAACATTTCACCGTAGAAGACTGGAAGAATGTTCTCTTCTCTGATGAAATGAAAGTTGAGCTAAATTCAAAGGATAAGGTGAGTCACTTTTATCGAACAGCATTGTATATTTTAATATCGCACACCTATCTCACTTTTGGAACTCACTTCCGGATTCTTTCTTTCCTATCAGCTGCGATCTTCAAAAAGGTAAATGCAACGTCAATCGCCATGTTGTCTTTTTGAATTATATTCTTTTATTGTTCTCTCTGTTTCTCTCACTCTCATTAACTGCTCGCATCTTAGTGGCTTTTATCGCCTTGCTTGGGGTGAAATTATTTTTTGAAAAGGTTCAAAAGCATTTATGCAGCCTTTTGGGTGATGACTTTTGAATCATGTTTTTTTCACAGACGAAACGTCACAAACCTATAGCTACTCTATCGGTACATTCCTTAGTTCCACTCGTTCAGACCTTTTCAGCTAAGATCCGTCATACCACGTTCACATAGCTGAAACATCCTCGTTGCCCTTGTATCCCATTGGTAAGAAGGAAGTCCTAATCAAAGCAGCTTCTCTCGATAACTGTTACTTTGTGGAAGACTCCCGAGAATATTACAATCTTAACCTCTTCAAGTTGACGTCCAAGCGTTATCTATCCTACATTATAAGGATATGTAGGATGGATAAATGTGGACCCTGCATTTACGTCCTCGTTTTACATCCATACATCACTTCATTTAGTAACCATCTTTACCTTGAGTGGCTCTTTGCCTTTGGACTGAGTGAATATTTCATAAACCAAGTTACATTATTCTCTTGGATGGATAAGAAATAATTTCGTCTATGCGTTCGTATTTATCTAGATTTTTGCAATTCTCTCTTTTGACATATATAAAGAGCGTTCCAATAACTTGGACAGATTTTTATATATGAATTAAGTTTAAGCGTCTAATGATTTTTTTCTTTTTCTTTCAGATTTAACAACTTAAGTCTTTGGCAATTTCAACCATGGAAAGATTAACAAACACACAACGTGTTAAAGTCAATTGGCCACCACAACCATGTGACTTGACGCCTTTAGATTTCTTCCTTTGGTGTCAGCTCAAACGTAAAGTCTATGCTAACAAGCCGACAACAATTCAATAGCTGAAGGATGAGATAATAAGGCATATTAGTGAGATCGAGGAGCAATTATGCAGAGACATCATCAAACATTTTGACCATCGAGTGGCGGTGTGTCACCGAAGCCTTGTCGGAGATTTGGGCGATAATATTTTAATATTAATTTTAATTCCCATGACTTAAATAACATGATCAAATAGAGAAATAAATAAAGTTTCACCAATAACACTAATTTATTTATTGCTGACTTTAATCCGTCTTAATGAAGCACCCTTCTTTTCTATCTATCTATCTATCTATCTATCTATCTATCTATCTATCTATCTATCTATCTCTCTATCTATCTATCTATATAGATTATTAATTAAAGAATATCAAATGCTTAAAATCCCATGAGTAATATTTTTTATTTCATGAGAGCTCTAAAAAAAGCAGCTTTCAATTTTCAAGACCTCCAAACAATTTTTTTTGTTTGGAGGTCTTGAAGAATTTAAGTGTTTGATATTCTTTAATTAATAATAATTTTGCTCTGTCTTTTGACAGAGAGCTCTCCCTGGACCTATATCTTCCTGGAAATTCCATACTGTAGAATAACAATAATAAAAAGCACTTACCGGCGTAAGAGTTCCAACTAGCGTCCAGCTGGCAGACAAAAATAAAGCAGGTTGTAACTTAATACATATCCTGCAAACTGAGAAATCATGCTAGTATTTATATAGTAATACTTCCACTCAGGTACCAGCAGCCAATCACAGCCCAAGCAATGGACTATCCCACTTTAGCATAATGAGATGCTCCATTGCACCATAAATAGCTCTGTCTCTATGTTGAATGAGTGCTTCACTCAGCTTGCTCCACAACTGAGTGGTTATCTTTACCACGTGATTGTTCGACATGGCGCTGTGAACAGGATCGCCTCGTTGGCTTGTGGTGTACCCTTCTGTCTGCGGTATGTTGATAGCCGAGCAGCAGCTGTATCTGAAGCACTGGCCATTGAGGTTTGGTCCCGCAATGCTGATTCAAATGCCTCAGCATGACGGATATTTTGTTCAAGGGATTTAAGTGCCCTAGTTTTGGCCAGTAGGTCAGCCTGGAGTGTGTCATTTGCTATTCCACGGATGATCTGGTCCTTGATGTATATATCAGACAGGTCATGTTCACACGAGGGGCAGGTAAAGTTACAATCAACGGCTACGGCTCTGAGGCGGACAAGGTAACTTTGTATTGGCTCATCAGCATCCTGAGACATGGAGGCAAAAGCAAGGCGATGGACAATAGGACTTGACCTCTGGGTGACCAACACTCCTACCATGTCAAGTAGATTATCTGGATCAGTGGTAAAGAAGTCAGGGTGTGTGTTGATTATGGCATTTTGCACAGCCTCATCAGCACAATTGTATAGGTGAATATTAGCTTGGGAGTTTGGCATATTTGTCATCTTGGTAAAGACATCCCAGTCAATTCGGAACTTCCTGAATTGCTGTGGTGTCATCTCGAGATTGAGATGAGGAGGCTTGGCTGCTAGTGCCTGAATGCGGGTTGTCTGGGTGGTGGATTCCTTAGCCTGCTTAATGATACACAGGGCTTCTCCCATTAATGTGACTCCCAGCTCCTTAAGCATACGACACATACGGATTACCATATTGCATCATCACTATATATATATATATATATATATATATATATATATATATATATATATATATATATATGCTACTCTATCAACTGTTTAGTGCTACTCTGGTTTTCAGAAGAGTTACATTCCTTAGTTCTACCAATTCAAACCCTTTACTTCTAAGACTTGTCATGCCAGTTACGCTGGGACGGATCATCATTCCCTTCTATTGGTAAGAAGGACATTCTAGTGGGACAGCTCCTTCTCGAAAACGACTACTTTCTGGAACAGACTCCCGAGATGTTGCTTCCTGATCATTAAATTTTAACTTTTTTTTAAGTCTATTGTTAACTGTTTTTTTTTCTCGTTCATATTCTTACAATTTGCACTTACGTCCTCTTCTCAAGTCTTTGCAAAAACTTAACTCAATAACATTTTATGTTGAGAGGCTCATTCACTGAACTTGCATTTTTAGTAAACAAACAGTTTTAAATATATAAACAGGAGAACATTGTCCAAAACTAAACTCACACCAGACAACTTAGCTTCACTGGCTACTGATTGATTTTACAAATTATAGATTTATTTGGTTATATTAAAAAAAAGGGCATGACAAAAGTTAAATGAATGTTCTTTTAGGGACAGAAGCCTTCTAGTACAATAGTGTAGACTGGTCCGCATAGCTATGTATGGAGTCAGTGCGGTGGAGGGCTTCCTAGACTGAATTCAATTACATCGGATGAGGCTTGACCCGGAGAGAGATAGGCTCCATCAGGTGTACTTTCCCAATATATGCTACGCATAAGTAGATACCTTTCCGACCGAGATATATGGAGAGGACTGGAGAGGACTGGACAGGTCCCTGACTGTGCAGAGACTCTACTACTCCACTCAATCATATGACTGATGATGATGATGAGGATGATGATGATTGTCTTTGTCAGTCAGTCTATCTAAATGTGTTCATGTCTTTGTCCATCAGTTTATCTGTTATCATCTATGTATGAATTCATTTATGTATGTATGTATCTATCTATCTTTCTATCCATTTATCCATCTATGTTATCATCAATCTACCTATTTATCTATCTACCTTATCATCCATGTATGCATGCATGCACCTATCTATCTATCTATCTATCTATCATCACTCTGTCTACCTATCTATTTTACCAGCTACCTTTTTATCTATGTTATAATCTATTTCTTTATCTATGTTAATATTTATGTTATCAACTATCTATATCTGTTATCAATTATCTATTTATCTATGTTAATGACTATGTTGTCAAATATCTATCTCTTTTATAATCGCTGTTTTTCTCTATCTATCTATCTATATATATATATATATATATATATATATATATATACATATATATATATATATATATATCAGTCTGTTCACATCTATCTATCTATCTATCTATCTATCTATCTATCTATCTATCTATCTATCTATGCCAGTTCCCATCTTATCTAGAAATGCATTTGAGTTTCCTCAATAACCCTCGTCGCTGCATGTCAATCTCCGTTGAAATTTGACGTTGGCATGCAATTTCTGAATAATTGATTCCGCTTTCGTCATCCCATTGCCCATTTCCTCTTGCGATCGTTCCCCACGTTCTCGTCTTTCCTTCTTCTGTTCACAGTGCCAACCGAAATGAATTCCGTACCTCATCCAACCGACCATAAGTCGAGGACTCTACTTTAGACGACTTTTTCTCTGTTGCTGTATTTAACATAACTTAATCAACCAGAGAGAATTGAGTACTCCTTGCCTTATTCTAGTTCTTGTTTGATTGCGTGCAAACAAACAATAAGAGGGTTAGTTCCGATTCGATAATTTCTGTTTAAATTTTCGTGATAATACTGCACAGTTATTTGCTAGACCTGTCTTCACTAAGTCTGTACCACCCTGTTCAAGGAGTGAACTCATAATTTCCATGTGGCAAAACTCATAAACCAACGCTTTAATTCCCACAAAAATAGCTTAGTAAAAGTGAATTAAATAAAGGTTTCAATTCGAAAATCCCTAAAGGTTACACTGTTCTACAAACATCTGAAGAAGGTCGAAGGGTACGACAGCCGAAACGTTGTGACAACAACAACAACAAAGATGAGGACATTATTAAGAAACTAATTATTATTAACGAGAAATACGGTTTCAGAGAATGAACACCACTGTCTATTCGGTAGTTTCACACCCGATTGTCTATAAATAATTGTCCCTGGCAGATTTTACAAGAATAACATACTATGTATAGGATAACTTACTATATTCAGCCACATGGCTTAGCAAAGTTAACGATTATGGATGATGATTTTAAAGAACGCGTTAGTTATACACGAGATCGAATGAAGGCAAAGCACGTAATCTAGTCACTTGACTCTACCCATTACGGCTACCTGATTTTCAACCATGAAAGCTTATAAAGCGGTCACATAGTTGTCAGATGGAATTAGAGAGCGCTAGAATGTTGAAACATCTGCGTTTATAACGTATCCTTTACACCCTGTCTATCGATACCCCTTAAAACAAGTTGGTAGAATGTGCTAAAGTAATTTTTTTAGGTAAAAGCGGTTCGTAATCGTAAAAGTTTATCATTTATTCGACCAAGCTGAGTTGAAATGAGAAGAAACGTCACCCCTTTTCGACCACCTTAATAAAATTGTGTCTTCTGTACTCCTCTTAACCAGATAGAAGATCAATGACCCTTAATCAAAGGTAGCTCTTTGTAAAGTAGTTTTTTGGATGTTTATAACATAATGCTTTTAGCATAGATGCAAAGAGATGGCCCTTTTTTTCTTACTGCGTACCTTGACAACTTGGAGGATTTTATTTTCATTTTAGAAACATTGTTTTCCAGTAATAAATTACATGAATTCCACAATGGAATCTCAACATGAATGATGGCCACCCACCTCAAGTTTAACATATTTGTTGAAAGCATTGAAATTTATACTACCTCCTTTTATAGATACACAAACTTAGACCTCGTCTGCCGTGTCCTTTCAGGGAGTTGGTAATCATAGTTCTCCAGAATTTCGTGTCCTTTGTGGTTCTTTATAAATGTTGTCTTTTTGCTATCTCTTTCAAACCCTAGACCGCAAACCCATTCACTCAGGATCGCCAGGGTTTTTTTTCCTATGTCTCTCCGTCCTTCAAACTGTCTTGTGAGAATCAAATATTCCAATCCGTCTTTACTCATTATGTGCCCCTATAAATTTAAACAGTCTCTTCCTAATGTTAAGTATACGTGTCTCTTTTGTTTCTATTGCCTCTAGAACTTCGTATTTGCTCACATGTTCAGTCCATGGCATCCTCATCATCCTTCTGTAGACCCGCATTTATGTTATTTCAAGTTTCTTCTTCATCTGTGAGGAGATTATATCCGGCATTCACTGTCATAACGAACGGTTTCTATATCTTAATACTTTGCTTAGCTTCTGGGAGGCATCTTTCGCTATTCCAATGTGACTTCCGGTTTCAGTGTTATTTTTCATCCTCCGTTACAACATCATCCAGATATTTATATTATTGGAATTGTTTGATGTCAGTATCTTGAATTTCTAATTTGCTTGTTAGGCTGTTCGTTTTGACAACAACCATACATTCTGCCTTTTTTCAACTGATGTTTAGTCCTTTCTTCTCGCTTTCCTTTACTGTCTTCTGTGGGATTTAATGTAGTTTCCTTTCTGTGGCCGCAACTGACATTAGCATATCTCATGTTATTAAGATTGTTGCCTCCAATAATGAATCCAGGTAGAACTTCTAATTCTCTCAGAATCGCTACACTGTAATTGTGGAATAAATCTTTTGAGAAAGCACATCCGTGTCTTAAACCACTTTCTATGCTTTTATATTTACCGAATTAATTTCTTATCTGTATTTACGTAGTTTGCTGTCAATATAGGTTTGGGATTATTCTGATATGCTTCCCAAACATGTTATAGTTACCTAGCAATTTCAGCAGTTCTTTGTGACGTAGTTTATCAAACATTTTTGCATTGTCTACAAAGGACAGGTACAACTCTTTCTGCATTTGTATGGCTCTTTCTGAGATTCCGAGCATGAATATAGCATTCTTAGTTCCAATGTATTTGAAGAACCTGCACCGTTTTTGTCCTACCTCCGATCTGATTCTTCTGCGGGCTCTAGTCAGCAGAATTCGGATGAGGTGTTTTGTTATATGACTAGTTAGGTTGATTGTCCGATGGAGTTTCTATTCGTTTGCTTGGCTTCTTAAGCAGTGCTATACAAATGGGTCTACTTAGGTCTTCCGGTATCTCACCACTGTTGTATATTACATTTATTATGACTGTAATCTTGCCAATGCCGAAATCATTTAAGGTTGCCGCCATACCTAATACGGGTTGATCCTGTTGTTTTGTTTATTTTCCATTTAATCAGTGCTGATTCCGCTTCAGATCTTAATATTTCTGGTCTTTCGATATTTTTCTGTATAACCGATTATTCCCCTTTGTCGTGGAAGAGTTCTCCGATGTATTCGTTCCATCTCTGAAATATTTTGATTTCTCTAATACCAGTGCCCCGTTCTTTTGTCCTGTTAGATCTTCTCTTCATTCTTTCTATTTCTTCACATTTTTCATTGAGCCATTCCTCTTTAGCTTTTCTGCAGTTGTTCCTAATTTCTTTGTGCTGAATCATATATTCTGTGTGGTACCTTGTCATTGTTTTTGTCTTCTTTTCATTATGTCGGGAATTTCATCTGTCAGCCATTTTTTTGTTCTTTATTACCCTTTAGGATAATCTTGATTAGTGATTTTACTAAAGCTTTTCTATGTGTTCCACTTCAGGAGTCCATTTGCATTTTGTTCACCTGCTGTTAATTCTATCCATATATTTCTCCTTTACATTCGAGTCATTCGAGAGTGTGTCGTATTTCAATTTGGGCGCTGCATTGTCTCTCTTCGATTTCCGTAGGTTCAAATTTGCATAATACTAGGACGTGGTCGCTTCCGCAGTCAACAAATCGGGATGTTTTGCAGTGTAAAACTGAATTCATAAATCTCTTATTGATAATAAGTCAATTTGATTTTTTCTCCTCCTGAGTTTCATTATGTTTATTTTATATATCTTGGGTGTTCTTGAAACCAGCTATTGGCTACTGCCTGATCATTCGCCGTGCACCAATTGACCTATTTTTTCGCTGTGATCATTACGAGTTCTTCGTTGAATTTGCCAACTTTTTCCCTATCTTTCCCTTTGTATACTTTGGCATTCAGATCTCCCATGACGAATGTAATTTTTTGCGAAATGCATTGAGACTTGGCGTTGTGCAGCATACAGTAAAACTTGTTCAGTTTCAAATAAGAATTATTTCAGATATTTGAGAGTATCCTTGAACACATTTCTTCGAGTCTTGGTCGAATATCTCTCTGCTTGAATATCAGCCAATATTTGTCACTGAAGAAATCTCCATTTTTCGCCCAGTTCTTTACACATGAAAAATTAAAAATTCCTGCTATATACTTTCTAACTGGCTACATTGATTTCGTGTTTTGATATTCCATGCTGCGAAAATTATTTTTGTTTGATGTGAACAGTTGCATAATTACGTTCCGCTGACACCTAAGGCTCATTTTTTTTCCTGAGCGGAGGATCAATTCCAAGGAATTTGACACCATTTATGGTGTTTTTCCTAACAGTCGCTGGATGACAGTCAGATGACATCTGTTGCACATGTCCCTCTTTACCGGACGAGCATTTAATTCTAATAAACCCACTTCATGCCGTTATCTTTCATAATTTCCTTGTTAAAAGCCATGAAATTTCTTGGGATTGATAGTGGAATGGTTTCCTGTTAGTTTCTCCACAGTGATTTATTGAGTCACCTGCTCTAGTTATCTGACTATTGACTCGTCAAGAGTTCTTCCAACTTTAGATATGGCTTATTTTTCGACCCATAGGATTGCTAAAAACTCACCTCAATTTCAAGAAAGTTAAGGTACCCGTTTAGACGCCGACCATCCGACAATAGCATACATGCATATACATACCCATACATACTCCCATTATATATATATATATATATATATATATATATATATATATATACGCTTTAATTTAATAATATTGCCTGATTTTTTTTTAATTCCGTGTAAATTCATGCCTTAAATTTCTCGAGTTAATATTGAAAGAAGGTTTCACTCTTCAATATTCGATCATAGCCGAAAAGTTTCATAGCTGATATGCTTATAAAATACATTATTATTTTTTTTAATTCAATGTAACTTCTTACCTTGATATTCTCGAGTTAATATTGAAAGAGGGTTTCACTATTCAATATTCAGTCATAGCCATAAATTTCAGAGCTGATAATCAGAAACTTGAATATGAAAATAATTTTTTTCATCAACCCTCGTGACTATCGGTGGTGGTGGTGGCGGAGGGGGAGTTATATCTACGAATGTAAATTAAAATAAATAAAATATGTCGCTATCAAGTCAATTCCAAACAATAATTCTAAACAATTGGAAAGACGGAAAAGTTGGTTGGTTGTTTGGTT